AAGGGCAGCAGTAACAGCAACATCGGACCAAACAAAGTCAGTCATCCGTTGACGTGCCGAAGTGATGATGCGGTGACTGGTGAGTAAGGGGAGTAAGATGTTACTCTGTGGAGCTGGCAGAACGCAAGAGGATCAGAATGCCGAAAAGCTGTGCAGGATGCAATTACCGTACATAGTGAGACAGGTACCTACCCCGTACGCATACTCCGTATGGGCACTTCGTCATCACCAGTTGTCTGTACGGGAGGACGGGAGGAGGCTTGACGAATGATGGCTGTGCTGTGCAAGGGCTAGGTACGCAGTCCGCCGTGAAGGAAGGAGTGGGCGGGCACTGGGCAGGGGTCGGAGGATGGAGCGATGGCCATGGAAGGCGCCAAGACGCGTGGCCCCCAGGCCACCAGGCGCAATGGGACAGAGGAGGTACGAGAGTACCTTATTTCGTACCTGCTCTGAATCATGGCACTCTCCTCAGCTATACGTAGGCACCTAGGTAGTAGGTATCGTAAATCTCAAAACTTCCAATCTCCAAAAAATCAACGACAGACTGCATTCTCGGGGATGCGAGGGAAGGTCCAGACAGAGTTGAGCTTCCCGCCGCAACGGTAAGGTAGGTACCGTCGTAGAGGGAATCCATGGGACCTGGCAGTCAGGAAGGCAGGTTTGAGGCTGCGAGAGTTGATGATGGTGGGCGATGGGGAAGGGCCCGAGGAACGGTGAGCAGAAACCCGAGATTTGCACCTGCCCCGTACCTTCATCCACACACGATAACCTTCCCGAAACAGCACTCCGTTCCATCTTGAAGGGGACGGACTGTGTGTACGTACCCAAGCAGCACACGCAGCAGGTGCGAATTGACGTAGCTGCACGCGAGTCTGACCCTCTGCAGGAAAGAGCCTAGAGCCCCCCGGGCCAAGCGAAGCAAGGAGCGACATGAACAATTGCCTGATTTGCACATGCCCAGGCTCTCCTTCTCCTACAGGCTACCTACCGAAGTGCCTTACTATGGGGCAGGTACGAATTACATGTATCCGTACGAAGGAAAAAGTACGTACTGCGTATACGCAAAGCAGCAGGGATGCAGCGCAAAAGATGAGAAACCCAAAAGTCTTGGCATCGCACCCACTGTTGCCGTGTGTTCCCACCTTCTTGCTACTCACTGGACAACTACGCGTTGCCCGCGAGCCAAATCCGCCCTTTCTTGCTTTGCTTGGCTTTGCTGTGTGTTTCGCTCAGCCAGCTTACTGTCAACTCCTACCGAAAAAATGGTCCATCCGTTTAAATGAACGGCGGAGCCCGCTTCTTACTACGCCGCTCGTGAGTCGCTGCTTGCACCCCCCGTCGGCCGCTTCTCGTCCCCTTTCCTCAACATCTTGTTTTCCTTCCTATTCCCCTTTCTCTTCGAGAACTCTTCGAGTTGGTCGCATGATCAGTGTCTGTCTGCCATTCGCTGTCTGACGCTGTTACACCAGAAAGTCGGCATCGAGATTCACCATCCTCTCGACTGAAGGAAGATACACGGCCACCAACAAGTCTAGCCCCGAAACAGGCACGAGTACTTCACTACGCACGACGACATCATCACGACCAGCCCCACGACGTCCCGATTGCATTGAATGTGCTTGTTGTTTCGAGCGATTAGACTTTCCGACTTCAAGAACGACCCGATCTGATTCCCGAGGGCTGTCCTTTGCCGATTCAAATCACTGCAGGACGAGCACACGACACTCTAAGAGGAACGGAATACGCACTCCTACAACACTTTTGGATCCCCGCGCAACTTAGACATCATGGCCGACGTGAAGCCTCCTAGCGGCAAATTGCCGTATGGCACTCCTGAAGGCGGCTGGAAGGCAGTACACACATGGAGAACTCCGGACTGGGTAGAACCAATTGTAAGGATCACGGCCATTTCGCTGCCAGATCACCGCAGCCGCAGCTCCACGTCACACGATTCCTCAAGGCTAACCACCAGCACCAGCTGATTGTATCCATCATGCTCATCGGCTTGTACGTCAGTCGTAGAAAGAACTACTCGATCCTCCGTCGCGGAAACGCGACATATGAACCTCTATTTGAAGAGAGAGGGGACTCACCCCGCATCTCCGACGAGTCCTACGATCCTATCCGGACCGATCCTTTTCCGCCCAAATACCGTACCATCTTTGGATGCTATCGCGTCAAAACCCCGAACTCTAGCCGTTTTGCGAGACACGTTCACTCGAGAATTCTGCAAAAGTTTCCCTTCCTCATCGAAATGTTCTACTGGGCCATCTCCTTCTTCTTCTACCGCATGACCGCAACTCTGGCTCAGAGCTACTACGGCAGCAGAAAGGCTGTCTGGGATGTCGCCCAGGAGCACGGCCTGTTTCTTCTCGAGACCGAGGCCAAGTTCTTCGGCGAGGGTACCAGAACTGGTCCCGAGCGCTGGGTTGAATGGCGCGTTTCCCATTGGTTCCTCGAGGGTGCTCAAATCGACGACTTCCGTGGCATTTGGCTCACGATCCTGAACCGCGGATACTCTCTGATTCATATCCCTGGTACCGTCGGCTTCATTGCCTACTACTTCGCCATGGCTCCCACCCACGCCCGCTTTTGCACTGTCCGTCGCACAATGACCTTGTTGAACATGTGTGCCTTCATCATCTTCATCTTTTACCCGTGCGCGCCGCCCCGTCTGATGCCCTCCGAGTACGGCTTCGTCGACACGGTCAACCTCGAGAACGCCGAGAGTGTCTGGATGAGCGGCAAGTTCGTCAACAAGCTGGCTGCAATGCCCTCTATGCACTTCGGCTACGCCTTCGCCATTGGCTGTGTTTTCATCGCCGACTCGGCTATCCTCAACCTTCTCTTCGGTCGCTTGAGGAACTACCTGCTGCGCAACGACTTGGACAAGTCGCTGGATATTGATGACGTCGAGCTCAAGGAGATCCAAGAGAACCGCGCACGCTGGAAGAGCTGGGCCATGTTCTGCTTCGGTGTCTTCTACCCGAGTTGGATTCTGTTGACAATCGTGGGCACCGCCAATCATTACCTGATGGACGCCTTCGTCGCAACCTTTTGCGCGTTGGTTGCGTACCTCTGCAATCGTGCCTTGCTGGTTTTCCTCCCCGCTGAGGACATGTTGCTTTGGGCCTTGAGACTGGAGAAGCCGGTACCGACAACGGGCCGCATGAAGAACATTGCTGTCCGGTAGAGGTTTGGTTGTGTGGGAAAGGCGCGTCAAAAAGACATGGAATCAAGATCTCTTTAACGAGTCGTCCATTTAAAGCATCGCAGAGGCGTTGGGAAAGGAATAATGGCCTCCTTTTGTATCTTTGCACACTATGCCCCTGGGCCAATCCCGTGTGTGCCGAACTAGCACTTATAATGAAAATCTATTCTGTTTGTTTGTCTATTTTCCGAAGCTCCGCCACACCCACATTGATGAAATGTCCATTTTTTAAGCTCCCGCGACATGTCGCTTGTTCGTATCCGGTGGATCTAGGGAGATCCGATTCGATTGTCCGTGAAAAGGATCAACTGTCTGTATAACGTGTACACCATGTCATTGGCTTTTTTGAATGAGTGTAGGCCACTTCGGGACATTGTTCGCTGACCCTGCAGGACTTCTTTGGCGCCCGGCTGATCCTGGGAGCAAAAGGGCTGTACCCGCTGCCCGACTTCATTTGCCAAGCCGAGATATCCGTGCGGCGTATGGCCTGTTTGCCTGCTGGAGCTGCGAGAAGCGGTGGCCGACGGGGCCGGGATCCGGTCTTTGAGGTGATGGATTCGGGCCTTTATGGTAGAGTCATCGAGATGAGGATATCAAAGTTGTTTCTTGGCAGTCCCTTGTGCCAAATTCTGAATTATGAGAACGTTATGTCTTTGGAGTCTTGAGGAGAATGAGATTCCGAGAGTACCTGTGGTTATGCCAAGATGGCCGTGAACTACATCGACTGAAGGCCCAAAGCTGAAGCCATTTCTTTGCTCTTGCTCGCGACGTGCTGCCAGAGTTCTCGATCTAGCTACACGGTCAGCAGGATTCTTGACTTCGCTTTCGCTTTTGAGTTCGCCACAGAACTCTCCCAATACCCGAATTTCCGAGACATCATATCGCATAGCCCGCGTCTTGAGAGTCTGCCAATGAGTCGGCCCGCGAAAAGGTAGTGATAGGCAGCAGTATTTGCTTTAGAGTCTTTAGGCAGCAGTAGCTAGAGATGCAAGGTCAGCATTGAAAGGAGACTGCAGGTGCATCTTTCATCATTCTGCTGCTTTTCGTTGCTCCGTAGTGTACTGTCATCCAGGCCAGGGATATTTGTAGTCATTCTGGAGACCTTTGTAGAGTGGAAGGTCGAATGAGAGGCGGAAATCGGAGAGGGGGTGTTCGTCACGCGTCAAGATGCCGATCCAAAGGCAGCGACATGCGTTCCTAAAGACTCGGCATAAGAGAGAAACATTTGCGAATAAATTCCCAAGAGGCCATTCTGGTGTCTACTTTGCCTTTTAGCTAAGCTAAGAGCCATGTATTGTAGTGATATTCCGACTATTTCTCTGCTGGTAATGTCAACAACAGTGTAAGAATATGCATGTGACGAGCATGATCGATACGGGCATCGAGTCACGGTGTAAATCATGATACTATTGGTTGTATGTCAGGTGATCACGACGACCAATCCAGCCGAGGACATGCATCATGTAGCTTTTTTGGGTTGCGCAGTCCTCGCCTGCATTCTCGCGACGTGTCGAGCCCAACGGCCAGGTCGGGCATTGAGTCATTACTCTGGTATCGTCTCGCCAACCTTGCGTTACGAGTCGAGAATACCAAGCGTGTCCTTGTGCTTCAAGATCCTGATACGCGGTATCTAGTGCCAATGGTCCCAAAAACGACGGATTTGCTCGCAGCCTTACTTTGAACTTCAAGCCTTGGCCCGTCTCCAGTCTCGGTACATTGTCCTTACCTCCGAGGCTCCGACGAACCTCTCAAGAGGGTATTTGACTTATTATTGCCTGCAGGTTCGGCAATGGAAGACGACTCGAACGCGTCGCAGCTGATGGCTGGCAGTAAGAAGCGTCTTAGAAGCCAAGTGGGCAATTCCGACGACGATAGCGACAAACATGACATCATCCGAACAGAGCAGCGGCCCAATTATACCGCCCAGCTCAAGATAAGGAAACTCGACCGTGAAGTGCGAGGGCCCAAAGTCAGGTTGGAACACAGAGACTACAAGGTTGGCTGGGTTGCAGCTCTTTACACCGAGCTGGCTGCCGCCCAGGCTATGCTCGATAACGTTCACGAGCAATTGCCTATGAACCAAAATGATACCAACTTGTACATCTTTGGCGAAATCGGCGTTCACAACGTTGTTATCGCATGTCTACCCTCGGGGCAGTATGGGACCGCAAAGGCAGCTATTGTAGCAAACAACATGCGCTGGAGTTTTCCCTCTATTACCGTCAGGCTGATGGTAGGCATCGGTGGTGGCGCACCGCGTGAACGCGTCGATCTCCGCCTTGGCGATGTCGTTGTCAGCACCCCAGAGTCAGGATCACCCGGAGTCATACAGTACGACTTCGGCAAGACTGAACAAGAAGGTCTCTTCCACAACACAGGTGTCTTGAACAAGCCTGCTGAGGCACTTCTCACAGCAGTAACTAAGCTAAGAGCTAGTCACGACTTGAAACCCAGTCAGATGCCATCGATCCTCGCGCAGATGAAGAGAGTTATTCGTAAGGATGTAAACAAATACCTTCATCAGGGAGTTCAAAACGACCGCCTTTACGATGCTGAATTGATCACCCAAAGGGGAAATCTAGCTGCGATCAATGCGACAGCTCAAAATTGGTTGATCGGTCAGACCGGCCCGATGATGATCCCAGGGTTTTCTACGGGACTATAGCGTCCGCAGATCAAGTCATGAAGCATGGAAAGACGCGCGATCGAATTGCACAAGAACACGACGTTCTTTGCTTTGAGATGGAGGCAGCTGGTTTGATGGACAATTTTCCATGCTTGGTCATCAGAGGAATCTGCGACTATTCCGACTCGCATAAACTGAAAGATTGGCAGCCATATGCTGCCGCAACTGCCGCGGCTTATGCCAAGGAACTCCTGATGACTATTCCATCGCAGGAGGGACAACTCTCTGCACCAGAGACAATCGAGATTCGACGAGGTTGGCAGCCAACCCCTGAAAGATGGTTTTATCCAATATTGATAGCAAGTTGCTAACTTCTATCCAGATCTGGTATCACCTGAGAGGCGTAAAAGGATACTAGCCTCTTTGAAATTCGATCAGATGGATGATAGAGTTGCCTCTATCAAGAAAGCGCATGGCAAAACCTGTGACTGGATTACAAGGCATCCGAAGTTTGTCAAATGGCTGGACTCCAAATATGTCGGCGACCACCATGGTTTCCTTTGGATTAGTGGGAAGCCTGGTGCCGGCAAATCGACAATCATGAAGTTCGCCTACGCTCGTGCAAAGAGGCGACCCGGTCCAAATGCTGCTGTACTCTCGTTCTTCTTCAACGCCAGGGGCGGAGTGCTAGAGAGAACTGCTGAAGGGATGCACAGGTCTCTCATTGTACAGCTTCTTGAGATGGTCCCCAGGCTACAAGGAGTTCTTGAAGACCGTGAAATCCGAGACCATCTCGATGCAAACTCGGAAGCAGAACGTTGGAGTCTTCCCTTACTCAGAGATGTTTTCGAAAGAGCTATATCACAGTTGGGATCAGACCAGATCACATGCTTTATCGATGCACTGGATGAATGCGCAGAATACGAAGCTCAACAGATGCTCAACTTTTTCGAGGACCTCGGCCAATGCGCTGTTCAAAGTGATACGAAACTGTTTGTGTGTTTTTCTAGTCGGCATTACCCTTCATTAGATACAAGATATAAGGTGAAGTTCGCCTTAGAAGATCAACGCGGCCACGACGAAGACTTGAATCTTTACGTTCAGAACACCTTAGACTACAGAACACCTTGGCAAGAAACCGAAATCACAGCTCAGATCTTGCAGAAAGCTTCGGGAGTCTTCATGTGGGTTGTGCTAGTTGTTGAGATTCTCAACAAAGTCATCCGGACAGGCCGGATCCATGAAATTGAGGAGAGGTTGGAACAGTTGCCGCCGGAATTAAGCAAGCTTTTCGCGGAAATGCTTGGAAAGGATGACGATTATATGCGAGATCTACTGCTCTCGATCCAGTGGCTTCTTTTTGGGACACGTCCGTTGACGGCAGACGAATACTATGCAGCCATAGTATCCGGCCTGAAACCTGGTTTCTTCCATGAGACGGATCCTGAGCGCGTCGTGAAGCAAGACTTCGAAAACTTTGTCGTCAACTCCTCAAAAGGGCTCGCCGAAACCACGAAAACGAAATCCAAACCTGCTATTGTTCAATTCATCCACGAGTCGGTCAGAGACTTTTTTCTCAAGGATAATGGCCTTAAAACAACTTTTCCTGATCGGGTGATAACTGAGGGGCAATGCCATGAACAACTCAAAGAATGCTGCCATGAGTACATAAAAGCATGCAGTCTTCCAACCATATCGACCAAGCAATCGGTCCATCCAAAAACATACCTGTCTCCGAAGGCCTTGGGAGTCTCATTGATAGGAAAATTTCCTTTTCTGGGGTACGCTACGACGCAAGTTTTATACCACTCTAATGCTGCTGCAAAGATGGCAATACCACAAGACCAGTTTCTTGAAGAATTTGCAGCTTCACTTGAGAATTGGATCAAGCTGAATAACCTCTTTGAGCGATACAAGACCTGCCACTACACTTCGAGGGCTTCCCTGACGTATATTCTTGCAAATAGGGGCTTGGATTTTCTACTGAAGGCCAATATTCGCCGGGACCCTCTCATCGAGATATCTCCAGAAGAGCGATACGGAAGCCCCGTAGCTGCAGCTATCGATAGGAGTCATTTTAGAGCAGCCGAAATTTTGCTGCTTCATCTGGGGAAGACTATGGCCAACAAACACCTCAGAACCAAGAAGGGAAGCACATTACTTTACGGAGCTGTCAAGAAAGGATTGCCCGAGGTTGTAGAGTTGCTGCTTGCGGCAGGGGCAGATCCTAACGATTCTGAGGCAAAGGAAGATCCACTTCATCACGCCGTTGTTCAAGGGAATGAGACTATAGTGAAGCTCCTTCTCTTTCGAACATTCTGCATCAGGACGCCTAAGGCATCTACGGACGAAAGTAAAGATCAGAAACAGCTCCGTCTGGAGGCGAACTATGAGCATCACGACCCGACGCGCCCGAGCCCGCTTCATATAGCTGTTGGTTATGGGCATACAAGAATAGCGAAGTTAATCCTGGAAAAAGGTGCCGATGCCGACCGCCTTATTGCTGGAAAACCGCCGCTACATATAGCTGTCAGCAAGGGCGACAGAAGTTGTATGGACGTTCTTCTTGAAAATGGCGCAAATCCCGATCAGTGCGATTCATATGGAATCAATGTTCTACGTCAAGCGGTCGCCAAACACGACTTACCTCTCGCCCGTTACATAATCGAGAAAGGGGCTGATGTCAATCAGCTGATGGATGGCGTCCCGGTTTTGCACCGAGCCGTATTTTCTTCCCGTTATGGCACGGAATTATTTGAAATCTTGCTCGAAAATGGTGCCAACATTGACATTACGGATAATACGGGTGTCACTACGCTCCATTGTGCCGCCCGCGACGGCGGCCATGGTATTTTGGAGTTGATACTCAGAGCTAGGCCAGATGTCAATTGCACGGATTCCAGTGGTCAAACTCCTGTCATATTTGCCTGCAAAAACCATAGTCTTGATCCCATGGCCATCATCGCCTTATTCAGGCAAGGTGCGGACATCAACCTACCAGACCTGGAAGGGAACACCCCGATGTTTGTCAGCATTAAGTTTTGCAGGGCGCCCCAACTCCAATGTCTATTTCAACTCGGCTCCGACGTCAACGGCGTCAACATGGAGGGACAGACTGCCCTGTTCATGGGATGCCAAACCGGGAGACTCGAGATTGTAGAGGTTATAACCAGAAATGATGCTCTACAATTGGGTTCTGAGAATGCAGCAGGCGAAACCGCCTTGTTTGGCATCTTTCCGGGCCACGAGGAAGCCCCGCTGATAGTAAAGCTGCTGTTGGAGGCAGGCCTTGATCCGATGCACATGAATGTTGCAAGAGAAACGTTCTTTGAATCGTTGAATTGGTTCCCGAACCTTGACAAGAGGCTCCGAAGATCCATCTTCACAGCAATTGCAGAGGGAACAACCAACCAAACTGACGAGCGGGGCTGTACCATTCTGATGAAAGTCGCACTTGATGATGATGAAAGTGCTGTTTCATTCTTGTTGAGGATCGGGGCTGATCCCAATATCTCGGACAGGGAAGGGTACACGCCGCTCTTTGCAGTTATAGAGGCACCCCATTCGGACCATCACGACCTTGTCGTCGATGCCCTTTTACGAAACGGCGCCGAGGCACATAAACCCGGCCCAAACTCCGAGACTCCTTTACAAATGGCTCAAAGACTCGGAAGAACGAGAATTGCTTCCAGGTTGTATTGTTTAGCATAATTGGTGCATTCTAGAGTTACGAAAGGTATTTTTGACGCGTAGGAAGGAATAGGGAATATTCTCAGGCATACATAATAATTCAATGATTACTGATCTAAACTTCACTGGCCACCGTTATGACACCGAGATCAGAATCCACCCTGATCATTAATCATCAAATCTCAAGCTCGAATTGCACAATTCTGACGGCCAGTTCCCGGTCAATCGAAAGCAATTACAAAGACAACGCGGGGGAAGTTATGTCAGTCTCGATCTCGGTCTCACCAAATCATCCGCGGTGTACCTCAATGGCAGTTGTTCGTAAAGTAAGCAGTTCGGCAACATAGTTACGCTGCTGGGCACTTTAGTAATTTTCCGGATGTCTTTCGAGACAGGACCATTGCTCAAATCTAGATCGCTAAGCATCCTCTTCATCGTGACGTGAGTTCGGGAGATGGAAGACATATCAACAGAGGAACAGCATGGAAGACACAAGATACATTAGTCAAGACAGAAGCACTAATATAAGGAGCAATGAGTGCCACCATTGTTGAGTTGGTTTATATTGCGACCAAACACAATCACTTAATACGATTATACATCCTGAACCATGTCAGAGCTGAAAGAAATCCTCATCATCGGCGGTACTGGCGCTCAGGGAAGACCAGTTGTCAAGGGTAATTTCATCATCTTCTGCAGAATAGACTCTGCACACCATGCTAATATTGCAAACAGCTCTCGCCGAAACCAAGCGATACAGCGTCAGGATTCTCACCCGTAACGTTGATAACGCCCGCGCAAAGGAGCTTGCCGCTCTTCCCAACGTCACCCTCATCCAGGGTCGACAAGACAGCCAGCATGATCTCCACCGGGCGTTCAAGGGTGTCTACGGCGCATGGGTAAACACGGACGGCTTCACTCTGGGCCAGAAGAGTGAGCTCTTCTACGGCATCCGCGCGTACGAGATTGCCAGGCACGAAGGTGTTCGGCATTACGTCTGGGCGGGTACCGATTATGCACTGAAGAAGTCGGGATGTAAGCAACAATCGAGCGCTTCTTTCTTCTCATTCAAGTTGTTGAATTGCGTTGCTGATTGGCTTGAACAGGGAACGAGAAGTACCATTGGGGTCACAACGATTCCAAAGGAAGAGTCACGGATTTCATCTTGGCCCAAGGCCAGGACGGCATGAAGAGCTCCGTCGTCACGACAGGTCCCTACATGGACATGCTCCTGGATGGAATGTTTCCGCCGACAGAGCAACCGGATGGTTCTTTTCTCTGGGTGAACCCCGCCAGTACGTATCATGCCCTTGGTCACATCATTACCACGATGTCTTGACCACTAACCTAATAATACTGCAGAGGACGGCAAAATCCCGCTTATCGCCCTCGAAGACATTGGCATCTACAGCCTCTGGCTCTTTGACAACCTCAACGAGTCCGCGGGCCTGAACCTGGAAGTGACGACCGACGAAGTCAGCTTCGCCGACATCGCGAGGATCTTCACCGAGGTGACAGAAAAGAAGGGCGTTCACAAGAGTGTATCGTTTGAGGAGTACGCGCCGCTCGCGGAGCCGTACCCGGGTGCCTATGTTAACTTTTCCGTCGGTCCGGAAGTTGCTCGGGACGAGTCGGATATGACCTGGAGACAGAACTTTGGAGCGTGGTGGCGGTTCTGGGGAGAGGGCATCGTCAATAAGAGGGACTTGAAGTTGTTGGATCGCATTCATCCTGATCGTATTCGGACCCTGGCTGAGTGGATGCGGAAGACTGGGTATGATGGAAGCCCTAGGCCTGTTCTTAAGGGGGTTGAGGACTGGAGGAGCAAGCTGCAAGCAGGGGTCTAAGTTGGTTTGATGGTGAATCCAGGCGGGGCTTAAGCTGAAATGGTGTTCATAGCGATCAGACAGCTTATCGCAATCCATCCTGGGCGCTACTGTTGCACAATAGTTGTGGTTCTAAAGGAGAATCTTTTCAATCTTACCCAGATCTTTGTAAGAACAAACTCCTCAAAGGGAATGGTGCTTTGTCGAGTTCACCACCTAGTTCAGTGCCCATCTTGTCCCACCTCTATTTTGGACGCCTAAGAGGGCTTTTGTGGCTTTGTCATTAAATAGTGAGCTATGTAAATGACACATATAAAGGATGAGTTTCAACTCACTTATCAACATTAAGACCAATGGGCAAGTAATCATCACTTGGAAACTCAATCATCAGCAAATCAGAGACTAGCATCACATCTGCTCTAAGAATATCAACAATCTAGCATATCAGAGTGACTTCTGTCCTCAGAAATGCCTTCAACACCGTCATCAGATGGATCTGCCCCATTAGGTAGTGGGTCGATGGATAGTTTGAAGCGGTTTTATGCGCCACAGAACTACTTGCGCATCCCAGGCCTCACGTTTGACGAAATCCCGGGCCTCATCCCACCTGAACACTCTGCGGCTCTCTACTATCTTCAACCCAAAGACTTCAACCTCAATCTCTCATGGGGTGAATACTATAGAAAGTTGGAGCCTTTCGATTGTGTAGCCAAAAAGTTGATCGACGTCTTTGATTACTCCATCCAAGAGCTCAAAGAAGGCATCGAACCCAAAGTCATGAGACTGAGACACGACACCGTTGGAGACGATGATCCTGAGCCAGATGCCTCCTTCTGGGATGATTTCTTTGAGCGAGTGCTTGGTAATATTGGCCATGAGGCTGAAAAGTTTGGCATGACCTCTTTAGACGTCATGTGGATTGTTTACTTATACGCCAGTGCTTGGGAAAGTACGCCTCTGTCGTACAGAGCCAAGCAGGCGGGGTACTGGCGCAAGACGAATATTCATTACTTGCATGATTTGCTGCCTGAGTGGGTTGAGATGTTGAAGACTAAAAAGTTGAAGTGGGCAACTGTCTTTGGCGTGTTGTTTGGAATTGGGCGATGAGGGTTGATAGCCGACACCGAAAATACCGCAGAATGTATATTTGATCTAGCTTCTTCTATGATTCTTCCCTATGTCAAAGCCACTTCCCGATGTCATGCTAATCTTCTCAGAAATGCACTATGTGCAGAAAATGCCACCACACTGAACATCCACTCAACGGGAAGGAAGATATCTAAACACTGGCCCGAAGGCGTTCTGCAAAGTCCTTGACTGTGGTTATCAGATCCCCATCCTGAGAAAGGCCGAGGCCAAGGGCCTTCGAAACATCGAAATAAGCCGGCCAACAACCGACGATCGCCTCAATCTGCGGGCTTCTCTCTTCGCGCACCAGTTTCCTAGCCTCTGTACCTCCGACAACCTCTAGCGCATTCAGGATGTCCGCCACGGTGACAGTAACGCCGGGCAAATTGAGAACTCTAGAAATCCCAAACTTCTCATGAGGAATGCCCTTGATATCCACCAGATTCTTGACCACCGTCTTCGGAGAGCACACCCACATAGGTAGTTCCGGCCTCACTGGTAAGATGTTTCCCTCACCTTTGAGCGACTCCCTCACAATGCCCGAAGCAAAGGAGGAAGCCGCCGCGCTTGGGGCGCCCGGACGGACGATGATGGTAGGTAACCGCACAATTCGTCCATCTAGCAGCCCACGGCGTGAGTAATCTCCCAGAAGCGTCTCGATTATCAGCTTCTGGGCGCCGTACGAAGACTGGGGAATCGGGCAAGTTGTCTCGGTGTTGATCTGGCCCGGTGCTGCAGGACCGTAGACTGCCAATGAGCTGGGGAATACCACAACGGATCCACGATGCGGAGATGCTTCTTGGCGCAAGGCATCGAGAATTACGCGGTGGCTGTCGAGGTTTACGGCAAGGCCTAGTTCCAGGTTCGCTTCCGCGCCTCCAGACATGATGCCATGGAGAAGGTAGATTGCGTCGAAACGCGAGTGACTCGTAAGAAGAGAAGCGACTGCCTCCGATGAAGTGAGGTCTGTTTTAAGTGATGTCACACGAGATGCGTGAGAGAGAGCTTGTGGCGGAATGGGAGGGGTTGTTATGTCTGTTGTTGTGAGATGAATGGAAGGCGATGAGAGAAGGAGGGCGGTGATGAGCTCCTGGCCAATGAAACCGGCGGCCCCGGTTATGAGGATGTGATCCGCTTTAGATGCCATATTGCGATTTGAAATGTGTATGCTGTACGAGAAAGTAGCGTAGAAGAAATGACACTGTTGCTCGAGCTTGTAGAGCGTTCACTACAGGATTGAAAACCTGTGAAACGAAGTGGTAGGTGTTTCGATGAACTCGATGAGTCTGGGTGTATGCAGTACGATGTTTGGAACAGGAAATTTCTCCAACGATTCGTCCACGTCTTGAAGTGATTCAAATGCGCCCATTCAGCAGATATCCTAAACTTTATGCTATCCACATGTTCCTACCCTAACACTAAGTAGTACTGCATCTTCAATGGTGACATAAGCATCATGGGCTTTCCTTCAACTTGACCTTTCTCCGAACTCTCTCCGGGGATGCACCTCCTCACCGGGAAGAAGCCCGGGTGGCAACGCTTACACCCCGCATGATCTACGCCCCCGCAGCGATGAACTCGATGGTTCGCGGCAGTGACATCGCGGGGAGTATCGGACTTGTCACCGAATCAACGGTCTTCTCGGTCGATGTTCCAGCGGTTAGCAACTTGAAGGAGTTAAGAGATTGAAGTTGAGTAACAGCTTCCTGTTTTACACAGTTCTAAGGATTAACGTTCTGTCTTATTAATGACTCTTTTCTGTTTTCTCAATCAACCTCAGTAGCCAAGTCTATGAGGCAGTGAGCTCTGCAGTCGCCTGCCTTAATCATTGGTATCACATAGGGAGCAGTACTAGTGACTGCAGGTGGGCTCGACTTCTTAAAATTGCAAGGCCAAGGCTTAGTAGATGGCCCTGATGAGCTACCTACTGCATACACTTAGTTTACGGGATACTTAATGTGCTAGACACGGTTTTGTGCTCTCACAAGGTGTGAAGAGGCGCCCGCAACACTACGATGTACTTGTCGTCTGAACTTTTCAAACCCGAGATCGCCTCTCGGCGAATTCATGAAGCTCCGCCTCTGGTCCGATTCCATTCTTCGCGTCCACGTCCAGCTCGCCCAGGCGGTTTGTTGCTAGGTCATCTCCGAATAGCTCCGCAATTTCCTCTAAGGATTTCCCGGACTGCCAAAGATTAGCAAGAGATTGCGTGCTACTTGATGATATGACTCACAGTCTCTGGCAGAAAGAAGAAGTAGAAGACAGCGGCCGCTAGGTTTGTTGCGATGAAAAGTGAGTAGTATCTCCAGCTAACGGAGGCGATAGCCAGCGGGGTGACTTGCGAGAGTACGATTGCTGTAACAGACTTGGCAGCAACGGCAAATGCCAGACCCTTCGTTCTTAGGAAGAAAGGGAACAGCTCCGATGGAACAACCCAGATCATGGCATTGAAAAAAATGGCGTAACACATGGAGTAGATGAAGATGGCGCTGATGGCCGCCCTTGCTCCTGCCGCACTGTCGTTATTCTTGTTACCATAGACTGCGCTGAGAGCCATGCATAATGCAATCATGGCACTCAACACCAGAGAACCGCTCCATAGAGTACGTGTTCGTGGCCAGCGGTCTGCGACGACGAAGAGGTAGATGACCTGGCCCAGAATTCCCATCATGCCGTAAGCACCACTGATGAGTAGCGCCGTTCTACCAGTGAACCCGACAGTGGCGTAGAAGATGTTCTGAAAGTTCTGTATGACCGAGGAGCCGCTGAGCTGTCCCATGGTGACGATGAATGCGGCAGTGAGTGTACGGCGGACGTACTTTCTGGAAAACAGTGCGCGCAAGGCCGTCATCCAGTCCATGTTGCCCTGAGACCTCTCCAGGAGAATTTGCTCACGGATTTGTATGAGTTCGCGTCCAACCAGATCATCGTTGTCCGCAGCCCCATGTAGGTTCGCCAGGACGGTTCTCGCTTCTTCGTATCGATCGCGCAGTATAAGCCAACGGGGCGAGAACGGTACGTGGAAGACCATTACAGAGAGAAGAACAGGAATGGGAAGCTGCATTGCCAGTGGAATCCGCCATTGGCCGTCTCCCATGGCAAATGCACCTGCGTAGCCAACCTTGAAGACGGTCAGTGTATGAGAGAGAAATAGGATGTATACATGCACATACCCAATTAGCAACGCCAAAGCCTATGGCTATCATCATTCCCTGAAGTCCGACAAGGAAGCCACGACGCGCTGGAGGCGCAACCTCGGCAAGGTAGATGGGAACAACCGAGAGTAGTTGACCACAGCCGATGCCAGCCACAAGACGGCCTGCTATCATCATGCCAACTTGGACGGCGGCACATTGGAGTATAGAGCCAATGATCGCTGTTAAAACATCAGGAACGCATCCATGGTATATGCTTTGCCACGAGCGGGGAGAACTAACTCAAGATCGAAGCAAGAAGAATCGTGTACTTTCGACTAAGCTTGTCGGCAAGGTAGCCTACTGTCATTCCTCCGATAGCTTGACCAGCATTATAGACCGATACGATGGCGCCTGTGAAGACAAAGAGTCAGCGGCGCCCCCATGCCAAATGGGATGTTCCCGGGTTGAGTGGATAATATTACCTTGATAGCTAGTGTTGACCATAGACGGTCCATACATCTTGAGCTTGAAACTGTCATGGCCAAAGGTTGTGGCGATAATTCCTAATTTGAGTCAGTATTACCTGAGTAGCTGGACCCAAGAAGTTGGAAGCGAACCAGAGTCAAACCCATATATGAAACCACCCTGAGCGGCGACAAGCGCCACAGCGACGATGAGGAAACCCATACCAAAGTCACGAAAATACTGACAGTAGGGATGTGTGGGGTCAAGACAAATCTGGGGAACTGTGGTTCCATTATGCAAGTTGAAATCCGGGGCATGATTATCTTCTATATCAAAATGGCTATCTACCTTGCCACATATTCGGTGCAAAGGTACACCGATAAACTCGGCTTTACGCCTTAAAGATGCTGCCAAACAGGAGGCCAGAATGCAGCAGTCATGACAAACTCGTCTAGTAACCATGATTGCCCCGACTCATTTCGGCAGATTCCCTGAGCTGGCTCAAACGACTGGGGAGCTAGAGCATGCGGGGGCGCGGAGTCTCCGCATAAGCCTCGAAATCCCACATCATGAACGTCTCGTGAGTGGTCGATGAAAGACTTGGCTGCGTCGGAACCGCTGCCGTTGCCGATACGTACATTCCCGCCCCTGGGATACCGGCAGTTTACCGCGCGGCGATGATCATGACCTCGTGCCAAATCGAGACCGAATCGGTGCCTCTTTGAGCCGGAACCTGCCAAGCACGGGGACCATTAGACCGCAATGGTTTTGTTGAGTCTATTTCACCTCTCGAAATCCAGATTCATTGAAATGCATGGGTTGATGAATGCCAGAGCCTAGTCGCACACAACAAACCATGTCTTGCCCAGCAATTACGAAGCCTGTCTTTGACCACCACCACAGTGGCCTCGGTGTAGCAACATCAAGGCCAAGGATCTCATGGCGATTCGAAAGCACCGACGAGACCATCGCTGGCTGGGTCCAGACTTCTTACGAGATTGAGATCAAATTTGCTTCTGACGAGAAGCCCCAGAGCTTCCCCGAGGTCAGCGACCAATCTGTGCTTGTGCCGTGGCCAGCAAGAGACCTATCTTCTCGCGAAGCTGCGATAGTTCGAGTGCGGGTGTATGGGAAGAGCCTGGTCGAAGAGTCCTACGCCAAAGAAGAGCCAAGCGCGTGGTCTGAACCAGCAACTGTGGAAGCTGCGCTGCTGAAGAAAGACGACTTCAGAGCCAACTTCATCACCGCGGCAGAGCAAATTGGACCTTATGGCCCTTTGAGACATATTCGCTTCCGCAAGGACTTCATCTTACCCCAGGAGCTCGATCTCAGATCCTCTTCAGCTCGATTGTACATCACATCCTTGGGTGTCTTCGAAGCCTGGATCAACGGGAAGCCAGTCACAGACGAGTGCATGGCTCCGGGTTGGACCAGCTACAAGCATCGTCTCGTCTATCGCATCCTTGACGTGGAAAGGCTCTTGATCCCAGGGGGCAAGAATACGATCTGCGTCGAGGTTGCGGAGGGGTGGTACGCCGGACGTCTCGGTTTCAAGGGCGGCATTCGATTTCGATATGGCGACACTCTCGGGCTATTTGCGCAACTAGAAGTTGACCGAGGGTCTGGTACGCCATGGAGCCTTCTGTCAGATGAATCTTGGTCTTGTACTCCCAGCGCGCTTGTCAGAAGTGAGATCTACGATGGAGAAGTGTACGATATGCGGGAAGAGGAGAGGGATTGGAAGTCCCCCGAAGTGACTCAGACGACATCAGCCACAAGACTTCTCCCATGGCCTCAAGCAACAATGGTAGCACCAGACGCGCCGCCAGTACGAGTCATTGAGACGAAGCCTTGTGTCAAGGTCTTTCTGAGCAAGACTGGAAAGACAATTCTAGACTTTGGCCAGAATCTTGTCGGTAAGCTCCTCGTCAAGTCAGTCCGCCCCAAGGAGGGAGCAGAGATCACTTTCCGCCACGCCGAAGTGATGGAAAACGACGAACTAGGCATCAGACCTTTGAGAGATGCGAAGTGTTGCGATACTATCATTGGATCAGGGGAGCCTCTTCTCAACTGGTCGCCCAAGTTCACCTTTCACGGCTTTAGATATGTCCAAGTCGATGGTTGGCCTGGTAGTGGCCCATCCGAAGACGACATCCAAGCTCTCGTGATACACACGGATATGAGGCGCAGAGGTTTCTTTGAATGTTCGAACCCCTACGTCAATCAACTTCACAAGAACGTGGTCTGGTCTATGCGGGGTAACTTCCTGTCAATTCCAACGGACTGCCCTCAACGCGACGAAAGACTAGGATGGACCGGAGACTTGCAGGTATTTTGTCCTACGGCAACATTTCTATACGATACATTGGGGATCCTAGGCAACTGGCTTGAGGATGTGGCGGCTGAACAACTGGAAGAAGGCAAGGGAGGAATTCCTCCTTTGGTTGTTCCTCTGGCCATTTCTCCTAACTGGCCACACATTGCTCAGGCTGTATGGGACGACGTGACTGTTCTCGCGCCAGACGCGTTATACCAATACAGCTCTGACAAGGGACTGCTTGAGAGGCAGTTTGTCAGCATGCAAACTTGGCTTGACGAAGGAGTTGATCGTGCTTGCGACGGTCTTTGGAACCCGGACAAGTGGCAGCTCGCCGACTGGCTTGATCCAAGTGCACCTCCCGATGATCCTGGAAACGGTCGTACTGACAGTATCCTTGTCGCGAATGCTTACCTGGTACACACGACCGTGGTCTTCTCGCGCCTCTGTGCGGCGATCGGAAAGCTTGATTTGGCTGCCAAGTATGCCAGTGATGGCGAGAAGCTGAAACAACTATTCCAGAGGCGTTACATTACGCCCGAAGGTAACCTGATGTCGAGTTCTCAGACTGGGCTGTCCCTTGCATTTCAGTTTGGCCTGTATCCCAACGACATATTACAACGCCAGACTGCGGCAAAGGCTCTTGAGAAGCTGGTACGGACTGCACGCTTCCATATCAGTACGGGCTTTGCGGGTACGCCAGTGATATCGCATGCGCTCACAAAGATCGGACGCCCACAACTGGCATATCGTATGCTTCTAGAGAAAACTTGTCCTAGCTGGTTGTACCCTGTCGTATCCAAGGGGGCAACAACGATATGGGAGCGATGGGATAGCATGCTACCAGACGGGCGAATCAACCCAGGACAGATGACCAGCTTCAACCATTACGCCCTTGGCGCAGTAGCAGACTGGCTTCACGGATCTGTCGGCGGCATCTCACCCCAAGAGCCGGGTTGGAGAGTGATTCGTGTGGAACCTGTTCCAGGTGGGAACTTGACGAACGCTACTGTCACTTTTGACGGTCCTTATGGAAAAGTGGTTTGCGAATGGGTGCTGGAAGGTACGAAATTCAACATGTGGCTAGAAGTGCCGCCAAACTGCTCCGCAGTGGTGTTTCTACCTTCAGGATTACCAAGGTCCTTTGCCGCGGAGACATGCCAACAACGTCATGGGCTTGTGGTACACTCAGGGGTCCACAAGTTTGAGGATACCTTTGACCCAGGCGAGTGGCCGCCCCTGCCCTTCGTGGCGGCGAACCAGCCCCTGCCACCGAACACAATCGCGGGCTAGGCTCGGTCCTTTCACGCATCTCGGGTTCTTATGGTCTTTGTAGCTTGTGGGGTTTCTGTTTATGTTTGTAATGTCGAGGTTGGATAAAGAAGTTCTTGACATTGTTGGGTATCATTCAATACTATCTCTTGCTCTGAACCTCAACCTCGTTCTAAAAGCATTCTGAGGTGAATAACCCAGTTGAAGTGACATAGCAGTGAAGGAAAACTTGATGATCTGGGATTCTTGGGGGGAAATATTTGTCAAATGAAGAAAACAGTCGCTGAGTCGCTATGCAATCGATCCAAAACGCGGAGTCATCTGGACCTTCATGTAGCCTTCGTGACCTTTCTTGGGGTATGTGTTTAAATACCGAAATCCATCTGCCCTATCCATCTTCTCGTCCCACAATGAAATGTTGAAGTTGTAAATGAGAAAAGCGACTGTTTTGCGTAGAACTCTGTGAGCAATACTTGTGAAGCATGTGTGTTAGTAGGGGGAAACTCTTGAGACGGTCGGACTAAACCTACTGTTGCCCTAAGCATGTTCTCGTACCAGTACCAAATGAAACGGAATGTCCCTTGGTTGTCTTCGACTCTTGGTTGAAACCGAGCCATCTTTCAGGCTTGAAAGTATTCGGGTCTGGGAAGAGGGTGGCATCGCGCTCGAGCAAATGTAAGGTAAAGCTCATACTCGTCTACGACGTGTCAGATACAGTCAGAGTGAAAGTGACTAAAATCCTCCCTCTTACCATTGGGGGTATTATGGCTCCTTGGTATTTCACCGGAGTGTCACTCTGTCGGGGTTGACGATGCCAACTGGGTGAGCTCAAGCGGGACGACTCTCTGCATACAGCATCCTGGGGGCGTCAGCGCCAAGTTCTATCTAGTGTAGGTCAACATCAACAAGCCACTTACCAGATACCTGAGTTGAGCGGTCTTTGGATCCCTCCAGATTCGGTGCCCATATGTGCCAATATCCAAAGTATCCAGTTCGGATCGAATTTTCTTGATGCATTCCGGGTTTTGAATAAGATGATGAAGGACAAAGGTCAAGTTGCTGAGAAGAGACTCGTTTCCAATAAAAATAGCTTGTGACGACTCGTGCACAGTCTGTGTCTCGTTCCCTATCTCGTTGAAGATTCGAGCCAACACACTTTGATGACTATTCTCGTCGTCCCAAGACTTAACCATAGGTCTGACGTGAGAACTAATCAACTAATCACAAAGAGGTCAGCGAATTTGATGTAGTATTCGGGGATAGTCGATCAACGAGCTTACGTTATCAAGCCACCCCAAAGGTGAAAATGATCGAAGAGCTGGAACATAATCAAACATAGTCTTGACCGGTGGCATACACCTCAGTACGGTGGCGAGGTCGATGGCGCTGAAGGCTCGTGTCGCATCGTGAGTAGCTTGCAAATCGTAGACCTTCTGAAATCCATAGTTTTCCTCGGTGAGATACGAGATCATGACATCGTTGGTGTAAGCCCAAAGGTAATGCGTCAAGTTAATAACTCCCTTATCCGAAGCAGCATCAGCAAGGCGGGAGTGAAGTGACTCGATGTGCTTATCCAACGTCTTGGAGTATTCGGCCAAAGTCTGGCCAGAGAATATTGGCCGCATAACTGCTGCCCTCTGCGCATGCTTTGTAGGGCTGGCCAATCCGCCAAGGAGTTTGTTGAGAAGACCATAGTAATTGTTGCACTTGAAGAGGTCGGGCCGCCGGTGGTGGTCGAGGTTGAACTTGTTGTCGACAAAGTGAAGCTCGTTAGGCCCGATTCTAACAACCGGTCCTGTAATGACAATTCGAGTTAATTTTAAGTCCACAAAGCGAGCAACAGGTGCACAAATTACCATGTTTCTCGTGGAGCGAGACAAGATTCTCCAGCCAGTCGTTCTTCAGCAGAACATGATAAGCTTCGTAAAGTTTGGTGATACCAGCAATTCTCGGCCCGGGAAAACTAGCGATAGGAGACAAAAACATCCGGTATGTGTACTTGACGATAAGGTAGAAGAGCCCTAGATAAACCGCCTTGACGACAAGATCGTCTAGGGCGCCGGACACCGAGAGTGCAGCGAACCACGTCATGATGAAGACAATCTCTGAAGTTGATTCTGACTGTGAGCTTGATTGCTTGAAACCGAACTTCCCAACGGCCGGTAATACCGCTGTTTATGTATCAGTCACAACGTCGTATCTCTTCTCCAGAATGGGGGGCACGGTATTACCGTTTCCATTCATGTGTACACTCTGCAGACAGCAAGGTATAGTATGAGGCATTTCCCGATTTGATTTCGTCGGGCTAAATAGGCAAAGCTGGGTTCTGCCCAACCTCTGTTGGCTGCACCGAGAACTATGCGCCATCACGGAAAAAGGTCCTGATCGGTCTTTGTGTGGGTATTGGAGCAGAAAAGACCAATCACCTTGAGCCGGTTCGTCATGAGTAGGAACAGAGCCCCAGGAAGAAGTTGTACCATCGATTGTCGACGGTACAACTGTAAGCAATGTTGTTGAAATTTCGTGAGGTATTGGCTGGAACGGATCAGTCCCTGCGAAGTACATGGATCGAGGGATCCTACCACGGCAACAGGGTACGGCGGCAGCTCCGCACTCACAGAACAGCTCGATTGATGCAGGTGAACGTCAAACGGCTGCAGACCTGGATCACATCCCCTAGGAACCAAATGCCTGGATGTCTGTTCAGCCTGTGGGTAGGAGTATGGAGAAAGCAGTTCGGATAGTGGCAATTGCTGCGGCTGGGAGTGGCTCACAAGGGTCATCGTACCCTGTGCATTGCGGAGTTGACGTGTGGAGTATGTCAGCAAGGAGCTGTACTATCGAATTTGCTGACGACTGAGATGGGGGCCGATTGACGAGAATTGGTGATGGCCGATATTGGTTGGCGAGAGTGGATGTCTAGCTGAACATTTTTATCATGGACTCCAGGGATTTTGGGACTTTGGAGATGCAATGGAACGTCAAACAAGCAGAGGTTCCACCGCCATCTTATCTAAACGCCCACTAGGACCATGTAGAATCATCGTGATGCGACGAACCAGGACCAACAGGTGGGCGTGGCTTCGATCGGGTGTACCGTTGACAGAATGCCAAGATCACCGTTTCCCATTAAGTCGTCACCAATGTCTGAACTATGCCGCTTATGCTTTTGCGACGGTAGCTTATCTTGTGATTTCTTTGCTATCGGTGCTCGCAAGTCGGGACTTCGGCACCATAATCGGAAGAGTCGTGGGAGTGCGGCACATAAGTTGAAAGAGCTGCACCATCCATACGCTCTGTGCAATGCTGGGGCTGATCCTTCGGGGCAAGACAGCTTCATTCCCGGGTTGCGGGAACCAGGTTGGTTGGAACCCTGTCGCTCGTTCGATGCAATTTGTGGAAGTTGCAGCCAACAGGAACAAGAGGAACAAGACCTTTAGGACTTTCAACAAGATTTACACTTTAAGGAGCGTTTCGATGCCCGCTTGCTGGAGTTCCGCTGGCCAATCTGCGCCGCGGGCCTTTTCTTAACGTTTTTGTTTCACTAAACAAATCTAAACCTTCTTCTGAACTCTAGAAACATAGCGTTTTGGCATCGTCACACCACATGGTACGAACAGCCAGTTAGAAACTCTGCTCCCCCTTCCGCAGTAATCGGACAGAGAACGGGGGCAGTCTAGAGTATGGTGATCAAAAAGATTTAGCAATAGGCAACAAGGACAGCCTTACGACCCGAGATTGATAATCATGACGAACCGTTCCAGAGGTTTGGTTGGGTCGCATTATCCTGGGGCCCCACGCGTTGGCGCTTGAGGTTTTACGGAGTACTTTCCGGCAATAATGATCGTTCGGCACCAAGACAATCAGCATGGTATTAGTAACGGTGCCTAGTTTCTGTGTACTATCGCTCACGTGCAAGTAAGCTTCATCGCAAGCGCAGACATTTAGATGCATCCACTCTAACGTGATGCCTTGGTCGATCGTGGGATGAACCACGACACAGGGATTTGGGAAGAACGTGATATTTGATTGCACGACTCTTCAAGTGAGATCGTCCAGGAATAATGCCGATACTTTGGTCAGCCTATCCTGACTGCAAATTTGTATCGGCCTCATGAGAGCTGCTCCATCTGCCGTTTGTCATGGAACATGCTACAGACAGAAATGCGAAGTCGCGCTTCAAAATTGAGGGGTTGTACGGCAACATGAGCGGCATTGATTCAGACGTGTCTCAAAATCTTCCATTCAGACGAGACTTTGTCCTGATTTTTGTCGACTGATTGACTTCATAAGTGTCATCACGAGCGACTCGGTGGTTGCAGAAACCTCAAGGGAGAGATATTGGTAATCGTGGGCTTTTCGCAGCTACTCCTAACACTCATCCGCGATGATTACAGGTATTTCACTGATAGCCGTGCCGAGACTCGTGGGGTTTGGCAAGGTACGTAGCAAAGAGTCTTCTGGTAAGGTGCTTTGTGATCCGCGACCTTGATCTTACGTGAAATTTGAATCTGGTACTATTCTCGCTTCTAAGAAGCCTGAACTACCGTAGCAATTTGACAAATGGACTTCAAACATATTTGTGCCTGTCTCTGCGACAGCTTTTAAAGTGATCAAGAAAGATGGCGGCCCAGGCGGCGCATGCGCATGTATTATCCAGTTCTTTCACTGGGTAAGTACTTACAGTTACACTTATTTCACAGCAAAACCAATGGTTCCTCGCATCAGACTCGGATAGGGTTCGTTTAGCTCACGATCTTCTCAAATTGCTGAGACATGCAAGTGCCGCTGTATTCCACGGTCCGCCGACAGTCAGGCATGCATTAGGTCGCATCGAGACCAAGCAGGATTCAAGAAGCTCCCACGGAGAACGAGACCGAAATAGCCGAAGTTGAAACCGAGGCGTCGTCTTTCGCGACTAGGATCACCTCATTTACATTTTCCGAGGCTTGACTCAAGTGAAAGATGCAATGGCCATCGGGTCCCCCGCCATGTTTTGTCGTTTCATCCAACTTTTCATGGGCCAGTGTTACTGCGATTCTTCGTGCGGGTGAAGAGGCGGCTAAGCCGGCACTTGAGTTGCTTGTTTAGTCTTTCCCCAAGTAGAAGCCTCGTGATCCCAAGGGCGATATACCCATGCACTGAGTTGGGTATGGACGATTGGTTCCGCTTATACTGGGGCGACTGGTCTTTAGTCCCAAAAGGCAGGGGCTTCCCCAAAAGGGATCTGGCTTAATGAACTTCAGATGACACTAAGATCAAGTCGGCAAGCTTTGGTAGAAACGCGGCCAGTTGTGACACTGGAAAGGACCTTTGGTAGGGTTAACCTGGATAATTGGACTATTTTCATTGGTGGACACGAAAAGGTTGAGCAAGTCGAATCCAATGTCGAACTGCATCAAGCAAATATCTCCGTCGTGGAGAATTGTCTCCTACATGAATCCACGATACAGAGCACTTCACGGGGCAGGCGAACACTACCGCATTCACGATGGAGTTGATTAACTGGAATATGATTAAGTGCGAGGATGTCATCTCGCTCATTCGCTCCAGTTTGCAAAAAGATATAAATACCTGCAATGTTTTCTGAGACATGGTCAAAGTGACACCTCGATCGATCAAGCTTATCATTCTCAGTTGTCATCGAAGCTCAAACCCAAGATACCCATGATGGTCTCTGGAACTTCCAAGGCAGCGATAATCGCGGCAATCATTGGCACTTCGGCCGCAGTCGATACTTGGGGCGGCTCCGTATCCCTTGGCCCAACAACTTCAACCATCATCAAGGCCGCGACAACAATTATCCCTGGCACCGCACCTCCCACACAAAACGGAGTGCTGGCTCTGTAGCCAGGTATGTCGAATGGCACCGGTGATCTCGTCCAAACGACCCTAGAATCTTGGCCGGACGACTCTTGGTGTGGCGCCAAGAAGGGACAGTGGTGCGTCCGGGCCTCACTTTTCGGATCCTTTGGGCAACTCAGCGGCGACGCTTCTGCCGTATCGGGCACCCAGAAAGTCAAGATCGAATATGAACTCCTCTCGGATAACGATACCTGGCGCCAGACCGTCACCGATGCCGACACCGGTGCAAAGCTCAGCTCGTTTGAGCACAAGTCTGGCCCGTTTATGAGAGGCTACGGGACTGGAACCGAGTGCAACGCCAACTGCAGTCCTACTATTGCGTCACAAAAGTATATAGATACCGTCATCACTCTTGCAGGCCCCGATAATGGTTTTGGGAAGACAGTTGCCACCGCTCAGAAGGCCACATATTCTGGTCTCTCGAGCAGCCAGAATGGAAAGGTTTGGACTATCAAGGAGATCAATGTCCCTGCGATGGTTTGAGAAAACCAAGCTGTACATGTACAGTGAAGAGATTTGGAAGGTTAAATAACCTTTGTCCATTGTAGATATTTATGACTTGGAATTGCGGTGTAAATAGCAACTTTGAATGTTCAGTCCACAACACAAGACACACGGCGATTTCACAAACAGCCTCAACTTTTCTTCGAGTGAGTTTCCTTGTATGTGAGAGAAATTGAAGAAGAGGAGATGAAAAGTCTCAAAGCGTCCAGAAGTCTGTCACCTGCTTTGTGACAGAAATATTTTCACTGTGAAAGCTGTGTTCGACGGCTCGTCAGGGTGGTGTTTGTAGCCTCCATTGCGTACCTACCAAACGGGCCTCGACCGGGCTGAATAGGGGTATCTGTCACCACCGGCAACGGTGAAAAGCTCAATTGCCACCGGATCCAAGTATTCTGCAAGTTTGTTCTTGGACTGAGTCGTTTCGCGGAGCAATACTCTCTAAAGAGAGCCAGTCACAAAGGTAGACATCACGGAACCTAGATCTTTCCATGAACACCAAATTCAGATTAGCATCGCGAAGCGTGGAAATTTCAAGCCAGTGATACAACGCCATCAGTCGATCAAAAACACACCATACACTCTTTCTTTCGGATCGATCCGAAGATTACTGGAAGAAAAAAGCGTGGGAAAACAGGAAGCGGCTCCGCCCAGACGTTTGCGGCGCTGGACGTTAGACGTTGAACGATGATCCACAGCTACTGATTCGAAGTTTTGCTTTTTTATCAACTTCAACCAATACCTATTTGACAACATCCTGTTTGGTTTCCCTTGCCGTAGGAGTTGTTCCAGCTCGGTAGGCGCATCTCGCTAGGGGAGACAGGCTCAAGTGATCCGACACCGGCAGACGCGGCCCTTCCCCCCCTCTGCATTATCCCGAAGAGTCCACAATTCCAGTCGGTTTCCCTCATCTGCGTTGGAGACGGCAATGATCTAATCTCGATTTGGATCGGGACCATCTGAGTTGACGAAATCTTCTGCACATTAATTAGTAAATTCTA